TTTTTCAAGTTTAGTTATTTCTTTTTCAAGCAAGTCGTTCAAAAAATTGTGCGAACAAATAATACTGTGGTGGCTGTTGCTGACTATTTAAATCTAGCGGGTTTGGTGTCTCGTGTTGCAAATCCAATGACGCTGGTAGTGACGATTCTCTCTGACCAATAAGTGATCTGTAGTGTTTTCATGTTACATTTTAGCATCGGTACGGCACGCTTGGAACCTCAACAGAGGTGGTACCATTTAAAGCGAGCCGAAGCGAGCCGTACCATGCAGTGGAAAAGCGCCAAAGTGAGCCGTACCGAACCGTACCATGCAGTGGAAAAGCGCCATTAGTCGCACATTTTCCAGGAATGGTTTTAGGAACATGATAAAGAGCTAAAGGTATTGCCCTTGCCTCCAAATTACCCAGATCTAAATCCAGTTGAACATCTGTTGGATGTGCTGGTCCAACAAATTCGATCCATGGCGGCTCCACCTCGCAACCTACAGGACTTGAAGGATCTTCTGCTAACGTCTTGGTGCCAGACACCACAGAACACCTAGGGGTCTTGGCTCATCGGTATAAAGACAATTCAATTGTGAGAATTAATCTGAGCATGTCAATGAAAGCAAAGCACGCAGCTCTGACAAACCATTAGCATGGCCACTGAAAGCACAGCAAGATGATCAAGAAGATCAAGACAGCAGATGTATCACACAAGTTAAGTCCGCTTGACTGACAGCTTACAGTTTGTTCTCGGATATACGCCACTGTAGAGAAGAAAAGACGATCGCAACTTGCATTTCATGCCAACTTTAAATTCACAAAGGTGTGTAACCACTGAGTAACTAACCAACTAATCTGAGTAACCACATTAACTATAAACATGATCCATTAACTTTTGACAACCGTAAGCAGTCTTCATTTTCAACAGTATATCTGTTGTTTTATAATTAAACCTCCTAAGAAAAATATTCCGAATAGCGTGTTTGTGTTATCTTTAAAATAAATGGCACTTGGTTTCACATTTTCTTACATAATGCAAAGACATTCATAAACAGGCTGTGAGGGGTGACATCCTACCAAACCTGGACTCTGAATCCCTCAGCCGGAAGCTAAGAGATTGCTGTTGTCAGCGATTAAGTGTGTGAGACATAAGAGACTCCAGTGGGACCACAGCAAATGCTGCAATTACCCATATCTAAGAAGAGTGGGTGGGATAGAAACAGCTTGGCTTTAACTCTGTAGAACACTCTAATCCTACAACCTCCATCTGTTAGCATGTGTGTGTGTGTAGTGCATCACTTAATACAAAGGAAACACACTCGCGCAGCACAGAGCTGGCAAACCCTTTAGAGACACAAGCCTTAGAGGAAAAGAGAGAGAGAGTTTGAAATGTGTATGCCTCACGGCAACTGAGGGACCTTGAACAATAGCTATCTGACTTTCTCTTTCCCTCCCTCCCTTTTTACTTCATCATGGGGGCCTTGAATGTCTTGGGTCTAAACAAATAAAAGTAAAATTTAATCTTGGAAGAGGCAGTGACAGAAAATGAGAAAGAGACAGAAACAGGTAGAGTGAAAAATATGAAAAAATAGGTCATATTGGATAAAAGCCTATGCATATTATCAATAATTGAATGTGAATTAGTCAGAGGCACCTAACTAGGCTAATAATCTAACCCAGAGTGGAAGAAATAACGACCGTAAATGACCTGCCATGAATTGGATTTTCCAGCAAGGTCTCCAAACCTCACCTGGAATTTAAATTCAAAATGGCCTTCAAGATGATAAATTATGTATTTTTTTTATTCGAGAAGGACATGCTGCACTATAATCTGAATATCTTTCTTACTGTAAAATGGGAAGCTTGGCCTTGCTTCAATGGTTTTCTTTTTTACACACAATCAGTTAGAGTAATACTAAAGCAAACAAAGATGAGCAGTTGAAATAAGTCTGGACAACATCTAAAAAAGATGGTATGAATAAACCAGAAAGACCTGTTAAGAGTCTACAGCTAAAGAAGTCCAGACATTACTTTGTTATATCTTGTCTAAATATGTGTGACAAAAGCTTCAGTGAGCGCATGCTTTGTTCACAGTGCAAACATTTCGGCTTTGCTTTTCAAATCCAAAATTTAGGACTGAATATCCGCTCTGTCCTTCTGCAAGTGCTGGAATCGGATCTGTGAGGTCAAAATCCAGTATTGCTAATATCAGTTGCCATAGTAATGATGTAAGTGTTAGCAGCATGCATGATTTTCATCAGTTCGAAAAGAGCGAATGGAAAACTCAAAATTTCGGAGCTTGTAACAATATATTACTGTCTTTTAAAAATCCCATATTAGATTTCAAACCCCACATGAATGTGGCTTGGACCAGGTTTGTAAAAACGAACCTTAATGTGTTTTTTGTTGTTGAGTCTACAAACAACCAAATGGATTTGATTTGGATATGCCAAAAATCTAAGATTTCTGTTGCCAAAGTTGATCATACTATAATATGCCCTTAATCTACTCTAATGCCCTTTTAGCACCATTCAATGAAATATAATTCCCAGCATGCAGTTCATGCTAAAATATATTTCCTACTTTAGTTAACATGAAATTCAATGAATCTTTCCTGACATATTGCTGTTATCCAGTCCAAACTTTCAGTTATTAGAGTTACAAAAATACAAGTCTTGTGTAGGATCTACATTCTCTCTTGCTACTATGAATTGTGGGTAGAAGTCTGGATTTTCATCTTATCTGAATTTTGCAGTTCAGAATCCGGTTCTTAAGAACTCATTAGGGAGCAGTTCTGCTTGAGTGAGCAAATACAAAGGATACTCAGGAAGGACAGAGTGAGATAAAGGGGGCAAGAGAACATGCTTATGTAAATGTTAATAAAATGACGGAGGGATACAGTAGACGAGACTGACAGAAAAGGAGAACAAGGAAAGAGAAAAGCAAAAGGTTAAAAGAGGGTCACGTCCCTGCTGCTCTGCAGATGCATGTTACAGCTGCAATTAATGATGATATCAAAGTGAAGCAGACGTGAAGGATTAAAGATCCGATGATCCAAATCAAAAAGCAAGCACACGTACAGCTGCACATTAATAAACACAGCACAGTTAGCTGATAGTGTTTTATACATATGGAGCTAAAATGAATCATGTTGGTTTTACATGGCTTGTTGCTGATCTAAAATGGTTTACAAGCTCAGTCAGGTCTCCACCAGCTGGTCTACCTAAACCAGACCAGTTTGGGCCGGCTAGTAACTAGCAACCATCTTCCAGAACACAGTTTGTACCTTAAATTGGTTTTAATTGAGTTTTCCAGTAGAGCGAGCAGGTTTTTAAAACTGAAACCTAATCTACTTACTGGTAGTCCAGCTAATTAACCATCTCGACAAGCTTAGAAGAGCTAATGACCATAAATGATTAAACTAGCCAAACAATCAGAAGCTGGTTTTAGCTGGGTTTTGGAGGAAGGGGGAGTTTTAGTTGGAGCTGAAAATCAATATTTTGGCTACTGGTGCTGACAGGAAACATTTCAGGAGTCAACGAAAAATGACTTACAGGAACACAAACATTAAATAGAAGCATTAAAGAACACTAATTTAATGATGGTAAAGGCAGTGGTTTATACTGTGAACCAAAACCTTCCATTAGTGAGGTTGAATGAATGGCTAAATTATATTTGGCCTGCAACGCAGACTCCCACAGGAAGCATAAAACCTAGCTGAGTGGAATTTGATTATTACAGAGTGTGTGTGTGTGTTGCATTGGTTTACTTTTATGAATGACTGGCAATTCATAAAAAAATAAAAAATAAAAACCCATAAAAATAATCAAACTAAACAAAGAGTACCTGTTCATATACTCTGATGTTTTGCATTCGGAATGGCATACTTCCATGTTTCTCATTCTATTTCTGTAGTATGTATACTGTGTACACATAGTGGACCTACTACAACTGCCAAAATGTGCAGGTTACCACAGATCATACTGCGTGAGATTCTGTCTCCCACAATACAACACACTCATATGTACTAGTAGATGTGATAAACCTGAAGAAATTTGTCAACAGGTAGAGCTTTTGAATCATTGTCTCTATCGTGATTACGTATTAGATTCTGCATACAGTGTCTCAGAACGTCTTTTCACACTGCGCTTAACCCCGGGATTACATCATTCTTAACCCTTCTTTTAATCTTTTGTAAAGGAACGTTTCACACTTGATAGTTAGAAGTGAGGTTTTACCCGGGGTTATGAAACCCTACTCAGGAGACCTCTTCTAGAGTGTTAAGCCCGCATTACGGTGGCAAGCATGTACAGTGTGTGAAAAGATGATGTGTTAGAATGTTGTTTAGATGCTTAGTAACAGACAACCAATCACGTGGCTCATATTCACATGTTTTGGACAGTCACGGAAACACTGCACATTAAACAGTAGTTTCAGTGTTTGATGGGGAAAATGTTAAATGGTGACAGAAAACACAATTTGAGTGAAGAAAAGACCGCCAAGGATGTGAAATGCTAGAGCTTTTATGTAAACTGGTCGCGTAGTTCGTCCAATCAATGACACTAACACCGCAAATATGCAAATAAGGACATTAACCCAAGGTTAGGAATGTACCGGCTTATGAAACAGGGCTGCCAACTTTTGAGTTTAGCTTGGAGTGAGAATTATGGATGGGGGATGCGGGGTGGAGGGAGGCTGTGATTTGATACAAAAGCTTGAGATTGATTCTGATCTTGATTCAGTATTGATTAATTTGGCTAATTATCAGGTACAGTAGTGCCTACATGTTAATTTTTACTCAAGGAAAAAAATCTCTCTCAACTAATGCTGTAAACATACAGGGAAAGCTGGTGTTATTATCAAAAGTTAAAATTAACATCTCATTCTTACACAATTATTTATTATTAATGGTTAACCCCGGGTAAGTTATGAGCAATGTGAAACTTGAAGCAAGATAACCCAGGATTCACACTTTCAAGTGTATTCAAGTGTATAAGTGTACTCCGTCCTCCCATACCTGTTTGCCATCCAGTGTGTAGATCCTTTTCACGGCTCCGCTCTCGAGTTTGATGGCCTCTGTGATGTCAGTGAGCACCTGCTCGAAAGAGTGTGCCGTCTTCTTATTGAGCAGCACACGGACAGCCTTCCTCGGCTTCACCCCGCTCCTCATCACCGTCACCAGCTTGGGTCGCACAAAGTCCTTGGTCTCCCTCGCCTCACCGGCGGAGCGGTTGGCTAGCATGTTCTTCTGGCTGGCTGATGCTTTCACGTTGACCGACCAGTTGGGGTTCACATTTTTGGTGTAGTCCACTTTCTTGTAGTAGTTCTCGGAGGCGCAAACATAGCTCTCACCTGAAGAGGTGGAAAACACAGAAACAGAGAAAGAAAGATGACTGGTTGAACAGCTCAACACATTTCTACTACAGTACATTTAGTCTGACAGCTTTGGTTTCAAATGACAACTATTGCTGATTTGCAGTGTTTTGCTTCCATGATGTATGAGGAATGAAATTGCTTTCCAAAACCTTCACCCTCTCTGCTCTCTCTAGTGGAATGAGCTGCAACCTCCATCTGAACTGCTGAAACAATCACATCTTTCATGAAGCAGTCGAAGACACACCTTTTCCGCCAGCACTTAACCACTCCACGAGCAAAAACAATTCACTTGCAAATAAATAAATCAATAAAATTCTCTTCTTTTCCCACTCTGTATTTCTCTTCTAATCTAGCTTTTTAATAAACGTGGCGTTGTATGCTGCAAATATCTTTAGCTCTTCTATTGTAAGTTACGATAAAATAATATGCTAACTGCATGAATGTGAACTTAAGCATGACTTGTGATGTGTCCTGATAAAAAAACAACTTGATGAAAAGGTGTGTCAAGATAAAATGTATGAAAATGCTTGAGAATGCCTGACCTAATTAGTTTTAATAGCCAGACGTATGTAGACTTCATCGGATTCAAACAAAAAATAGATTTTAGATATAGTTCCCAATAAGACTCCCAATTATTTCCAATAATTATGATTACTAATAGGATAAACTGGCCCTGTAAAACCCCTGGAGGGGGGTTAATTGTACAGGAACAAAACATGTTTACAGTACAATACAAGTAGAGATATGATAAATATTATTATTAAATATCCAAAGAGAAAATAATTTAAAAATCCTGTAGGACATTTACTTTGTAGGAAATGTGGGAATTGTTTCGCAATCAATTCCATTAGGATCCTTTAAAATTGCCTCCAAATCATGCCACAAATTCCATCAGGAATCCTGTACACATTCCTTTAGGATATTTGTGACTATGGGGAGCAGTCAAAGGAAAACAGCTTAATAAACACACTAAATAATGAAAATATTAAAATTCTAAACTGTTTCTGTGAGGGGTTGTAGAAAATAGTATTAGGTTTGTATAAGAACGTACGTGTGTGTGTGTGTGTGTGTGTGTGTGTGTGTGTGTGTGTGTGTGTGTGTGTGTGCGTGCCACACTCTTAAATGCATAGGCAGTGCGGTTAACATGCAGATGTATCACACCAGCAGGCGACACAAAAAAGCTGAGCTCCAGAAAAACACGGTTTAGCGGTTGAGTGTGTGTGTGTGTGTGTGTGTGTGTGTGTGTGTGTGTGTGTGTGTGTGTGTGTCTGGGTGCCACACATTTTGAGCATGTTCCTCTAGGCTCCTTTATTTGCTGTCTGCTCCCAGCTTGATTCATCTCAGATTCAACATATACTGACAAAGCAGATTTGCTCTGTAATGAAGAATGTCTTGTCTTTTCATGTGGAAAACATTTGCTGCTTCCAATCGGTAAAATAGTTTGGTGGGTAGAAATTAAACTAAAAAAAATAAAAGAAAATCAGTTGCACTTTATTTTGCAGTATATGCACTTACGTGTATACAGTGTTCTTACATAAAAAAGTACTGGGTAATAATGTCAATGGGTTAAGGTTAGGTTTAGGTGTAGGTTCAGGGTTAGTACCTTATTACCCAGTTATTGTAATTACTAATAAGTACATGGTGTGTACACAGGGAACAGGACTGAAAAATAAAAGTGCTACCCGAAAATCATTATATGCTTGAGAGGATGGATGAGAGGATGAATTGGGGATGAGAGTACCGACAACATATGAGAAGTGCCAGTATGCAAGAAAAAGTGAGGGTACATTATAGATTAAATGATAGAAGTGTCGTATTGCGTACATGTGCCCTCGTCATCTTTAATCTAAATAACTTCCCCTCCTTTTTACAGCGACATCTCTTCTCTTCTCTGACCAATAGCAAACCACAACCATCCAACTATCCAATCAATTCCTGATGGACTAAATCAAGTCCCTCCCTACATTTCTTCTTGTTTGAGAAGCAGTTTCACTCGGATATACGTCACAATAGGGAAGAAAAGACTATCACAACTTCCGTTTCTGATCATTTATGCCACACTTAGCTGATAAAGCTGCGGTCACTGATTTATCAAACAAACCGACTCAAAGTACATCCAAAATGTGTTTCCCCATGTGAACTATCCATACAGGAGAAGTGCACTAGCATTGACTCCATACAACTTAAGAGCTGGATTAAAGTAATTACCATGTTAAACGTACTGAATGACTGCTAAGCCCTCTGATCTTTGACCTGTGACTAAAATGTTAGCATGCATGAGCGACACAGTTTGAAAACACTAGCCTACTCTGTGGTTTATAAGTTTAAGTTAAATTATGCCAAATAGCAACGTTGAAAACAAGCCACTTTGCATGTGTACATTGGACATGTTCCATATATGCATGACCTGGAAGGCGGCACTGTATTGATATTCCTTAAACAGTTGTTATGGTTTGTTCTAAACTAATAACCACAATTTATTCAGCCTGAACTACATAAAATACTTGTTTTGTACATAATTTCGGTTGAAGTGTTTTCTGCTTTCAATCTCAGTTTCAGCTATTTTTGTTACACTGGTATAGTAGCCTTAGACATGTGTGAGTGTGAATGTTCAGGATTAAAAGCTGGTGTCAACCTTTAATGGGCACATTACTGTTGGCATGGCAACCAGACAGGCCAACCAATCTGCTTTTAGCTCTTGGAGAGCTTAGTGCAGGTGGGCAGTGTGTGTTTTACTAACAACTGGTTTAGTGCTCGTCACACACTAATAGGGTACAACGGGGCTAAAGGCACACCTTAAGAAAAATGCTTTTCACTACCCCTATAGTGTATGATTGCATAAAATCTTTTTTTTATTGAATATTGATGGAGCAACAGATTTTGTGTGAAAACAAATCATAAAAGTGGTTTGTTTGTTTAAAAATCGTATAAATGGATGAGGTGGCAAGGTGGGCCTTTTACTCCACACACGGGATAAAATCAGCATGGGGCAAAACATTTTTTCACAATTTACAAAAATACTTTAGCTTAAAAATATTTTTTTTTTTCTTAATTTCTAAGTTGATACTTGTTCAAAATGTTTGACTATTTTGGTTTATTTTAATAAATAAAATAATAAATATACGGTCATTAAAATACATTCACCTAAAGGATTATTAGGAACACCATACTAATACTGTGTTTGACCCCCTTTCGCCTTCAGAACTGCCTTAATTCTACGTGGCATTGATTCAACAAGGTGCTGAAAGCATTCTTTAGAAATGTTGGCCCATATTGATAGGATAGCATCTTGCAGTTGATGGAGATTTGTGGGATGCACATCCAGGGCACGAAGCTCCCGTTCCACCACATCCCAAAGATGCTCTATTGGGTTGAGATCTGGTGACTGTGGGGGCCATTTTAGTACAGTGAACTCATTGTCATGTTCAAGAAACCAATTTGAAATGATTCGAGCTTTGTGACATGGTGCATTATCCTGCTGGAAGTAGCCATCAGAGGATGGGTACATGGTGGCCATAAAGGGATGGACATGTTCAGAAACAATGCTCAGGTAGGCCGTGGCATTTAAACGATGCCCAATTGGCACTAAGGGGCCTAAAGTGTGCCAAGAAAACATCCCCCACATCATTACACCACCACCACCAGCCTGCACAGTGGTAACAAGGCATGATGGATCCATGTTCTCATTCTGTTTACGCCAAATTCTGACTCTACCATCTGAATGTCTCAACAGAAATCGAGACTCATCAGACCAGGCAACATTTTTCCAGTCTTCAGCTGTCCAATTTTGGTGAGCTCTTGCAAATTGTAGCCTCTTTTTCCTATTTGTAGTGGAGATGAGTGGTACCCGGTGGGGTCTTCTGCTGTTGTAGCCCATCCGCCTCAAGGTTGTGCGTGTTGTGGCTTCACAAACGCTTTGCTGCATACCTCGGTTGTAACGAGTGGTTATTTCAGTCAAAGTTGCTCTTCTATCAGCTTGAATCAGTCGGCCCATTCTCCTCTGACCTCTAGCATTAACAAGGCATTTTCGCCCACAGGACTGTCGCATACTGGATGTTTTTCCCTTTTCACACCATTCTTTGTAAACCCTAGAAATGGTTGTGCATGAACATCCCAGTAACTGAGCAGATTGTGAAATACTCAGACCGGCCCGTCTGGCACCAACAACAATGCCACGCTCAAAATTGCTTAAATCACCTTTCTTTCCTATTCTGACATTCAATTTGGAGTTCAAGAGATTGTCTTGACCAGGACCACACCCCTAAATGCATTGAAGCAACTGCCATGTGATTGGTTGATTAGATAATTGCATTAATGAGAAATTGAACAGGCGTTCCTAATAATCCTTTAGGTGAGTGTATGTTCATTTTAAAAATACAGAAACAAAATTATTTTGCTAAAATGCTGAAAGCATTTAATGAGATCCTAAAATTATTTAATAAAGCTTTACAGTAGTAACAGATAAATATGTGCTGCGAGCTCCAGAGTCAAGCGTGGCACTGTGTTCAACACTGTTACACATGTGCGGCTCATGATCAGGTGTTTCAGTGCTCAGAGCAGTTTGAAAGTCTTTTTTGGTAAATCAACCAACGTGAATTCATGTTTCATGACATGTGTATTTTATAATGTATTTAGTCTAACATCTTTGTGGATGTTTTTTTTTTTTGCTAAACAACACTATGCAAATGATAGAGAATAATCATTATGGTTAACATTAACATAAATACAAAAAGGCCTAACTCAAAACACTCACCTTCCTCGAGCTCATCCAGATTGGTGATCTTCAGTGATCCATCGATGGTGAAGATGTATCTGACCCCCTGTGGCAGGTTGATATGGTCAGACAGAGAGCGGGTCAGGTCAGCCAGAAGCGCATCAAATGTGCGGAAACGGTCACTGGCCACTGCATACACGATGCCCTTGAAGTAGCGGTCGCCGTTGCGGTAGAACCGTACCTTCTTAGCCTTCTTCTCATTGGTCAGAGCCTGGAGGGTGCGTGTACGGTAGAAACTGCAGTGAGCGCTGTGAGTGGGGCTGGGGAGGCCGTTGGGCCGTCCACCTCGTGAGGTCCGAGACGCCTTGTCCCGCTCATCAAAATGGCCGAAGTCCAGCTCCATGGCAACGTGTTCAGAGGGGGCATCCATAGTGGTGGTGAAGGAGGTCTTGTACTGAGGAATTATGGGTCTAATAGAACGGGAAAAAACATAAAAGACAAACAAGAATTATTTTTGGTCTGACTAGGGAAAGCAAACTTAGGAAAGCTTTTTTCCACCACAGAATAAAAAAATACAAAAGGTAATTTTTTTTCTTACAATTCAATTGGGACTTTTTTCCTCAGAATTGTGAACTTTTTGAAGTGTCAAAGTAGGAGTTGCATAGCTCTCAATGGAGGACAACAAGATTTGTGTTCCGAAGATGAAACGAAAGTCTTACGGGTTTGGAACGACATGAGGAGGGTGAGTAATTAATGACAGAATTTTTATTTTTGGGTGAACTAACCCTTAATTGTGAGTGTACACATCTTAATCATTCCTCAAAAGGTTTTTAGCCTATATACAAATGTCACAAATGATGAATTCATGAATATCATTATGCTTTTTGGGGTCTTAATTCACCTCTGTCACTCCAAACACAGCCCAAAGATACGAGCAAGCGACAGAATTCCAAATAGTGTGTAAAATAGAAACCTGTAATTCATTCTAAAAACGTTTTACCTGAAACACTGAAGCCAAGTGTGTTTGTCGATCTACGCCTACCATCGTGTAAGTACAACACATCTACACATGCTCTCTGAGTAACACACACTCCACCATGGATTGGCCTACATACAGCAGACCCACACACATTTCAATGTCACTCATGAGCTATTATTAAAAATTCTCTGTGGAGACAGTCGTTTCCCAAAGAAAAACTAAACACAAGAAAACTGAAGGTATGGTCATCTTTAAACTAGTCATCGGGCAGTATTTAAATGCACTTACTGCAGATTGAGAACATAGACATACGCACAAGTTCACTGAGTTTATACACATTTATACAGTACATACTAGCATTGATAACAACATATTCAACAGTTAAATCAATCAACTGTTCCTCACTAGCCAGTATCCATGGCAACAGCAACACAAGCTTCCCATGTTCTCTAAAAGGATACACAGATGAAGCATGGAAACTACACGTCAACATCAAATCACACGTGATCATTAACTGTAAATGCAGATTCACAACATTCCATTCATTACCCATTTATCTGGGTAACTGAAACCCTTGGAAGAACTGAAAACAAATATTGACCGGTTTGTTTGTTTTAAATACATTTATTGGTTGCACTTAATTTTAAAGTACGTTAAAATTATGTTTATCAGTGGTTGTATATTAAGCAGGGACACGTTTGTGTGCATTTTACTTTGTGATTTCACCGGAACGAATAGAGAGTCTTCGCAACGGATTAAAGCGCACGTCCAAGTTCAAAATTGGTGGGGAGTGGGGACAATATCGACCCTGGCAAAAAAAAAAAGGTGGTGGGGACATGTCCCACCCGTCCCACCCGCAAATTACGCCTATGCCTATGGTTATAACCGGTTATAACTGACATTTGAAACACTGTAAATGCGTCTGCCAAATTAATAAATTTGTCGTCACATTGGAGTGTTAATATATTGTGATGGGTTGTACTCCTCAGCAGCTTTGCAGTGAATATAGTAGCCATAGACTGTAAAAAGTAGCCTAGTCTGCCAGTCGATCTTGTAACGGTACAGATAGCTGAGGCTGCTTGGCTGAAGTGGCGCGTCCACCGGCCGGCTCAATCTCACACAAAGCCCGCCCTTTTACCCATATATGGATTGGCCAGAAGGTGGGCGGGGTTAGGATTTCCCAAGATTTTCAAAAGATGGCGCCGCCCATACCCGCCATAAACGGCCTCAAAACCGTTATTCAGAAAGTCTATGGGTGACGTCACAGACGCTTTGTCCATTTTTTTACAGTCTATGTTTGGGAGCTGATGTTCCAAATCTTTTTTTTTTTTTTGGCCAATCACAATGCACAGGATTGCTGGCCAATCAGAGCACACCGCGCTTTTAAGAACAATGGGATTTGTAAAAATCGACGCGTTTCAGAAAGAGGAGCAACAATAATGTACAGTATGTGTAAAATAATGACTTTTTTTTTTTAACCTAAAACCATGTAAACACATTGCATTAAACCAAATACACAAAATAATGTTTTTTTAGAACCATCATATGACCCCTTTAAAGTATTTTACTAATTATGTAGCCTACTAATTTTGTACTTAATGCACTTTGGTTATCCTCAAGTGCTAAAGATATACTTAAGTATATGTTATTGTGCTAAACTATTAAACTATTGCAGGCATAATTTAGGTACACTTTAAAGGGATACTCCACCCAAAAATGAAAATTCTGTCATCACCCTCAAGTTGTTGCAAACCTGTATGAGTTTGTTTCTTCTGCTAAACACAAAGGAAGATATTCTGAAGAACGATTGGAACCAAACGGTTGTTTGGCACCATTGACTTCCATAGTAGAAAAAATAAATATTATGGAAGTACCGGTAAATGGTGCCCAAGTTCCAATCGTTCTTCAAAATATCTTGCTTTGTGTTCAGCAGAAGAAAGAAACTCATACAGGTTTGCAACAACTTGAGGGTGAGTAAATGATGACAGAATTTTCATTTTTGGGTGGAGTATCCCTTTAAATATCTTGCATTTAAAGACTAATATTATATAGTCAGTGATCATATCTTACTAATAGTGATATTAAAACATATTTTAGGCTTAATATTAAGACGTTTGCATTGTGCAATAAACAATTACTCCAAAAAAAGTTTAAGGTTATGTAGGTTATGCATCATTTTCAATCTTAAAATATATGCATTGGTCTTTATTTATATGCAAATTCTTGACTTTTCATTGGAATTCCACCTACAATATCATGCTACTAAAATCATCCCACTACCCACCACTCCACCGTTAGCGAGAACTGTGAGAAGGAAACAAAAGAGGAGAGGCGGACATATATTTAGCCTCCATTTCCACAGAAACACTCCAACACAACTGCCATTGGATGGTTTTTTATCTCCAAAAAAAAAACTTTTCAGGTGTGGGCTGGGTAAAGAGATCATTGTAGAAGTTGTCCAGGTTTGTAAAATAAACCAGTGGCTTCTTTTACAGTAGTGCAACATTTACATACATGCAAATTTGATGTTCTAAAATTATGTTCAAATAGGGTGAGCAACAACTCTCTGTAAAAGCATGGAGAACTAAAAACAAACAAACATACATGAAAAATCATAGAATCCAATAATAAGAAAAAAAAAGAAGGAATTAAATAATGAGACAAAAATAAATTTTGTGAGAGAGTGAGAAAACCAGGTCAAACCATGGGGTGGTCAAGCTAGTTTTGGAGCATTCTTGTTCCAAACCAGCTCTTATTTTCAGACCAGCTTTAACTTGCTTGACCAAGATGACCTACCAGGTCCACCAACATGTGGCTCAGCTGATCAACCATCTAGACCAGCATGGACTGCTGTTGGCCTTAAATGGACAGTCTGGATCAGATAGAAAGCATGTGAAACCAGCTACAGTTTTAATAGTTCTAATTGTTTATGTGATAAAAGTAATGGATAATGCTATTGTTGCTCAGAGCTGGCTAGAAGACTAAAACATATTTCATCTTCTCTTAGTCTGTTTCAAACCCTAGTAAGCTGTCTTGCTGTCTTATCTATCTAGGCATCTGTCTTCTAAGGGAGCATCCTAACCTAAACAGAACCTCATTAATGACTGATCTGGAAACACAAAATAATACTACGCATAAACAGCGCATTAAGCACAAGCACAACACAATGCTTTAAGGATTAAAATACATACACATTCAGATTAAAATAAATTATCCATTTCATTTGGATTGCACTATTAAATTTAGTTTACATTCATACATCATCTTGGTTGGATTTCCTCATTGAGCATATTGCAATGTAATCTGGGATAACCTTAGAGTTGCCACCCCCCAAAAAAAATTGATATCTTGGAAGGTAGCATAAGGTTGCTGCCTAGCTTTTGTAACAGACATTATGTCTAGATAGGCAGCTCACAAGTTTTTGGAACAGAGTTCATGTCTCTCTCTCTGATTAAAGTCCAGACTGAGAGGAAGGCAGATCCTGGCCACTGAGCTCCATGTGGACCAGGGCCAGAACTTCGAAAACACAGCTGCTCTCTTTAAACAAAACTCTCTCTACCCTCCACAAAAGAAATGAGAAATAAAAGAAAGTGAAAGAAGGAGAGTGTTAGAAAAGGACAGTTGTCTCTGCTGCAGTTCCAACTGTATCTTTTCACATCACCCTTTCTTTGAGGATAAAGTGATTAAGCAAGCGCAAGAATGTAAAAGTCACTCACATAAACACACTAACGGCACACATGCTTAATAATGCACTCAAAGTGCTAGACACACACATTTGTGTATGTGTGGTGCTGATATTCCCTGGACCAAATGTTTCCACAAGTATGATAATACCAGTAAATGTTTACATTATGGGGACATTTTTATTTCATTTTGGTCCCCATGAGGAAACAAGCTTATAAATCATACAGAATGATCTTTTTTGAAAATCTAAAATAGCACAAAGTTTTCTGTGATGGGTAGGTTTAGGGGTAGGGATATATAATGGGTTATATAGTGTAAGGGGATAGAATATACAGTTTGTACAGTATAAAAACCATTACGTCTATGGAGAGTCCCCACAAAGATCGTAAACCAGACACAGTGTGTGTGTGTGTGTGTGTGTGTGTGTGTGTGTTTGCACACTAACATATGCCCCATCTGATTTCAATAAACAGTGGTCATCTGTCCATCTCTTTGTCACAGAGGTCTCCTGCCCCCAACAAGACTTTTACAACTTATACTTGCCCCACCCACCTTCTGCTGTCCCAGAAATTGGTCAATATTCTCATTCTCTTACCATCTGAGCACACATTCCCTCAAAATACTCCCCCATACCCCCATAAACCAACAATGGATCAATAAAGCTACACCACTCACACCACTCTACCTCATATTACACATACAGAGAGAGAGAGAGACTCCTATTCAAAGCCAAATCAATAACTACTCATCAATGTCCTGATATGTTTTTAACTCTTTTTGTCTGCAGAACCGCCTGCTGTCAATACT